TATATATTTTTTTTTTACAACCCATTGATGTGTAAAATTAAACACATCGTAGCATAAACTAAAAATTTATGTACTTATAGCTAGCGAAAAAAAAAGCACCAACATTTTGTATTGTCTCACTATTTCACCATCATCACATTGTAGCTTCCTTGCTCCTCCTCCGGCTCCTCCCCCGCCGGTGGCGGCCGTGGTGGCTGCCGTGGAACTTCATTTTCTCCCTCAACCGCCCGCTCGTCTTGAACATTTCCCTCTCGGAAGGCACGATCACGCACTCGGGCGGCGGGACCGGGTACCTCAAGTTGTCGTAGCAATACGAGTAATACATGTACTTCTCGCGGAACGACTTCATCGACTCCCGGCCACGCCGCGTGATGCCCGCATACTCGTTCGACATCAATTTCAAAACCGAGTCCGTGCAGTTGGACGACAATATTTGGTCTGTGGGGTCCACGACGCATCCCTCGAGCACGAGGTCCTTGAACTCGGCCACGAACGGCTCGTATTCGTAGTTGACCTTGTCGTGGCCCCCGCCTGTGGCCCAAGTGGACGCGTCCCATATGGTGGCGTAGACGGACATCGGCTTCGACGGGTAGTCCCCTTTCATGTCTTCGTTCCGAACCACTTCCCTTATCGGGATGTCGTCCACGTAGAATCTGAGTCAGTCGAACAAATTAGGCACGATAGGATGAGAATTTAGAGGTGGCCAATTGCTGGTTTTGGGCCGATTCAATGAGCTGACGGTTCACGGTTCAGAACCGGCCCGCTAGTTCCAAGCTGAACCGGTGAATTAAAAAATAATAATAAAAAAATCAATTTATAAATTCGCCGAACAACAGGTTCCCGTTCCAGTTAACTGGCGGTTCAATTTGTGAAAAAATGATGAACCTGAACTGGTCCGGGTGAAACAACCGGTTGGTTCAAGGCCCAGCTTGACCGGCCAGATCGGCTCGTGGACATGACTAGATGAGATGTTGTAGTAAAGAAGTGATGTTTACTAGCTGATATTTGAGAAGGGATAATATCTCACATTAAGTTTCTTGGGGTCCAAAGAATGCTATATCGATGAGAGGCTTTGGTTGGGTCGAACCACATTCGGTACCTCTCCTCCCTCCCGCGCGAAACGCTTCCGTTGCCGTACATGTTTGTTTGGAACCTCCATGGCCTTCCCTTTACGTTGCCCAAAAATTCGATGTCTAGTTCATCGTGGTTCCTCTCAAACGTGTCCACATTTGACGTCTAAAGATAATTTGCGTTAGTAATCTTGCCGTTTTTCTCTAGGATTGGTACGCATAATTTGATTAATTGAGTTCGGTTATGTACTTACATAGAACGCGACACAGATACCGGCAGTGTGTTCGGATGGCATCTTGATGCTGGCGCTAAAGAAGCCGTAATTGTAATAGTCGGACGATATGATTCCGGAGCCTGGCGATGAACAAATTGATTGTCATGCATCAAATCACTTTATTTTTTTAGGTCAATTAAGTGTACAAAATTCACACACACGAAAAAATCATTGTTAAGATCATCAAATTCTTCTCCACACAAACAAGTAATTTTTATTACATTTTCACATACATTATTTGTTCATCAATCGTGCAAGTAGATGCATGCGTACAAGTAACAACATATGTACAAAATCTACGATAAATGCATCTACGTACCTGAAAAACGATTGAGAAGGAGGCGAACGGTCCTATCATCGGGAGATCGTTGGATGTTGAATTTGCTGAAGAGAGGAGAATACGAGTCCTCGAACGTGAGTGTGGTGACGTTGTTGAAACCGGCGACGGTGGTTATGATGGTGGTGGTGAAGATGCATAAGAAGAAGATGAAGGAGAGGGGATAGAGGTCTTTTTGCAGAGTAAAATGCATCACATTACACATCTTTTCCTTCTTTTTTGGAGGGTTTCTTGTTTTCTAGGGGCCTCTCTCTTTCCTTCTAATTTCTTTCACTTGTTTTTCTCTATGCTTTTTTTTGTCTTTTTTAATAAAAAAAAAAATTGTGATTTATGTACACCATCCATAAATCATTTAATCATATACATATGTATGTTATAATATGTATTATCAAATTAAGGATCATTTAATACTAAAATTATTATTATTATTATTATTATTATTATTATTATTATTATTATTATTATTATTATTATTATTTAATTTCTCTTGAACATTTTTTTCTATCATCTTGTGGTAGGTTCCTGGATGTACTGTTGATATGAATGGAATTTCACAATTTGGAGTTTAAGCAAGCTACTCAGATATTGGATTGTGAAAAATTTAAGATTGAAGGGAAAATTCTTAAAACAGAAAGATAAATGAAAAAAAAAAAAAAAGACCGTAATAAGTAAACCGACTAGATTTTCAAACGTTAAAGAACGGTTTCGTTCGGTTTATTTGGTTTACTTATGTTTAGGGACTTGAAAAAGTAATAGATGAACCCAGCAGTATGTAATACAGGATTTAGTTCAAATAAGATTCACGATTCAGTACAAATACTGCATACTATTTGTGACAGTCTTTGAGCCTATTAACAGGTACAGAAGAAACTTCTGTTGAAGTGAAAACAGAAAAAAACCGTTCGTTTTCTTTTCTTTTCTTCTGCGGACAACTTCATAAAGGAGAAATCACAAGGTGCACGAAGCTTGCTGGTAATCACAAGAACGTACCTTCAAAATTACAGTTACAAGTGTGAGAATAAGGATGCAGAAAATGCCCGACACTGAACGAGTACAACAATATTGTCCAATAACGTGCATACAAAGGCAGTAGCATTATTGAAAGCCCTAAGCAAAATTTGCATTTTTTATTCAAGATGCCGATATGCTTGTGACAAAACACAAAAGTTGAGCATTAATTCAATATGTTTGGGACAAAATACAAAAAGTTTTCTAACAAGAAATGTCAATCAAGGTCGAATTTCTTACTATCGACATGTCACGACGCGCGCAGTCAATAGAAATGCAGGTTTTTCAAATGTCGATACCAATTGATCACAAATGTGCATGATTTCGGGTTGAGTTCTCATAGATGCATATAATGGCATTCGTGTGTATTCACACGAGTTAAGACAGCTTTAACATATTATTTCACAAAATATGTCCTTTAAATAAGAAAACAACGTGTCTTCAATAGATAAGTATGATGCACAAGTTACCATTTCTAATAGTTCTTCAGGAAAGAAACTGCAACATGAACAAACAATGGTACAAGAAGGAAATCTCAAGGTAAAATAGAACGGAATTTACTATGCAATACAAGAAAAATCATTTAAAAAGGATACTACTCACAAAAAAAAAGCCTTGCCAAGTGAGCTTTCTTCAAAACTTCTCACTTTTCATAACTGCAAAAGGTCAAAAAGAATCATAGACTACACACACGGGATTATTTCAGGTCACCTAAGGAATCTACCGTTCTCCACAAATTACAGTAGAAATTTCGAAGCTTGGAGTAACTAAAACCAAACCTCAGTGCAACTTTTCAAAATTACCTCACGAGAATAAACGGCGTGGGTGAATGATGCACAGTGAATTTTTTCACTGTGACATTAGGACGAACGAAGCAACTAATATAGGCCAGTTACTAAGACACAATGTGAGAAATATCTCGTCGAAATATTATCTTCTGGCAGACCCAAGTTAGATTAGTAGTCATCTGATTGTGAAGAAAATATCGACATTTCATATTTCCTTTCACTCACAAACAACTATAACGTATAATGTACATATGGGCTCTATCAATATCATATTAGCAAGTCACTACAAGCAATCAGGAGAAATCCGGTTAACAGCGTAAAGCCCAGTGAGCCCGGCAAATTCTTTTTAATGAGATTCGACTTATATGATTGTGAAAAAACAATTTCTGAACAATAGTTTCTGTTAATGAATCAGATCAGAACAGCAGAGCTACCATCATTTGCCAACATTCACCATCTAAAAGATGCACCGATCACATTCTATTTACGTGGATTAATCAAAACAAGTAAAGGGAAATGTTAATACAGAGTGAATACAGAAGCCAGAGTTCTTAACAGTAAGCAACAATCTTCGCTATCACGAATTAGTGATACAAAAGTAGAACACAATTTGCAAATTATTACTCGAAGCGGAGAAAAATAAAAAAAGGGCTCACTTTTCAACAATGGGGTTTTTTTTCACTCAGACACTGTTAACGTTGCCGGAAATTGGGGGCTCATCGGCGTCCAATAACTTGGCGTCGGTGGGGACAAGGCGAGGAATTCCGTCGATGATCGGATAAGAAACGCCGATGGAGTCGCTGATCA